TGTCAGTGGCCATCGGGGAGGACACAGGGCAGGGTCAGAGGCGGTGGGGGGGGGCTCACCTGGATCTCCACCAAGTAGATGGGCTCCATAAGGCGCGGCTGGGCAGTCAGCACACTGGCGTAGAGGCAACGCCGTGCCGTGGGGATGATCTGACCACCCCCGCGGTGGATGGCGTCAGCGTGCAGGGTCACGTCGTGGACGTCGAAGCGCACACCCCGCATATTCTCCTCACACAGCGCGCCCTGGGAAAGGGAGAGCCGCCGTCAGGGGCTAAATGCACCCTGGCTGTTGCCCTCCCCATGCCAAGCCCTGCAGGTCTCCACTGAGGGAACTGTCCTTGCCCACCTCAGCCCCATTAGGGTCCCAGAAGGCAGGACCATGAGGTCCCTTCTAGGGGCTGGAAACGTGGGTGTGGTCTGCCCATGGTGAGCTGTGCCTCACCTCCTTGGTGGCCCACTGGAAGCCAGCCACCACACTGTCCTTGATCTCGTTGAGGTACTGCACGCCCTTAGTGATGTCAGTGAGGATGTTGGGGCCGGTGCCGTCGGGCCCAAAGCACCAGATCTTACGGGCTTCGGCCACGTCCCACTCGTACTTCTCAGCCAGGTAGCGCGCCCGCTGCTTGAGCTCCTGGCGGGCAGACACCTCGCCTTTGTCGATGTCCTCGGCCAGGCCATCGGGGAAGGGCCGCGCCTTCATGTACAGCCGGTTGTGCTTGTTGGGGGACTTGGAAAGGCAGAGCACGTTGGACTCTTCACTGACAGTCTCACGGTATGAGACGACAGGGTCAGATTTCTGCAGAAAGAAGAGGAAGGTCACACACCTGCCTGGAGGAAGCAGGAACTTAACACACAGAGGAATCCTTAAAAGATTTTCCCAGCGAGGCAGACTTAATACAGCCTGGCAGAATGACGCCAGTCAGAATCAAGGAGTCAGTGTTGCACGGGCAAGCACATCTCACCGCCATCCAGGACACGGAGCAGGGCTCCACTGAGCTCTCCGGCACAGAAAACCATGGGCTTGCGCAATTCCAAGTTTTCATGAGTGAGAAACAAGGTCTGGAGCAGGCCTGGCCCGACCCCACTGAGCATGTGTGTTGGTGCACAGAAGCCCGTTGGATGAGCTGTGTCTGTGAGGAACTCACAATCGGCCCCGCTGGCTGGGTACGGTGGCTCACGCCTGTAACCCTAGCAGTTTAGGAGGACCAAGGCAGGTGGATCATGAAGTCAGGCGTTCATGACTAGCCTAGCTAACATGGTGAAACCCAGCCTCCACTAAATATACAAAAATTAGCTGCACATGGTGGCAGGCACCTGTACTCTCAGCTACTTGGGAGAATGAGGCAGGAAAATCGCTTGAAGCCGGGAGATGGAGACTGCAGTGAACAGAGATGGCGCCACTGCACTCCAGCCTCCAGGACAGGAGCAAGACACCATCTCAAAACAAGAAAATAATCCCACGTGTCTGTAGCAAACCCTAATGAAGAAACTTAAAATAACTAAGACAAGACCAAGGCCAAAATCAAGTCTAGGAGCCTGTGCAAAGCCCAGCTCAGCTTTAAAGCTGAGGGTGGGATTGAGCGCCCAGAGCACAGTGGCAACAGACTGTCTCAGCCTGAGGGGCATGGGGAACAGCTGATCACTGATGCTCGCAGCTCACCTTGATGGGGATGCAGGCATGGTCCTCTTCCAGGTCCTTGAGGCAGATCTCCAGGTGCAGCTCGCCAGCACCCGCGATGATGTGCTCTCCCGACTCCTCAATGATGCACTGAAAGGGACATGTGTCAGCACCAGCGCAGCGGGACGGGCCTGGGAACAGGCTCCCCGGTTCCCTTTAGCTGGGAAGAAGCTGGAGTCTACAAGGACAAGATTTCAGAGGAAGGTGCCGGGATCCTGGGACCACCCGAGGCAGCACGAACTGAAGATATGTAAGCCCACAAACTACAGTGCACATGCGCAGAGCAGCCTAGGAGAGGGTGGTGGCCGCCTAGGCAGGAGTCCCCATTTATAGGACTTCCACCTTCGAGGCATGATCCCCATGCAAGCAGGGGTTTCCTGCACAGCTGGGAATCCCTCCTTTCCAACCTTACAACCACAGCAATCCACACAGCCACAGATGAGGCCCCAAGCCATCCCCCCTCAGAGGGTCTACCCACAGCGGGTGCACTCCATGCCCACCTGCACCATGGGGTCGGACTTGGCCAGCCTCTTCAGACCCTCCACCAGCTTGGGCAGGTCGGCTGGGTTCTTGGCCTCCACGGCCACCCTGACGACAGGGCTGACGCTGAACTTCATCACACGCATGTTGTGGGCATGCTCGAAGGTGGTGATGGTGCCCGTCTTCACCAGGAACTGGTCCACACCCACCAGACCCACAATGTTCCCACAAGGCACATCCTCGATGGGCTCCACGTAGCGGCCCATCATCAGGATTGTTCTGGGAAGAAGCAGAAGGCCATGGTTCTGCTGGATCCTCTAGGTCAGGCGTCCCCAAACTACAGCCCCCTGAGGCCATTTATCCGGCCCCCTGCCGCACTTCAGGAAAGGGCACCTCTTTCATTGGTGGTGAGAGGAACACAGTATGTGGCGGCCCTCCAACGGTCTGAGGGACAGTGACCTGGCCCCCTGTGTAAAGTTTGGGGACGCCTGCTCTAGGTCCAGGGTGGGTCCCTCCGCGTTGGTGGCTCTCCTGCCTGGTCCCAAGGCAGGCAGGTGGCTTCCACAAGGCCCCGACTGCGGCATCGGGGCTGCCAGGAAACACATCCTCTCTGGAGTTCCCGCCCTCTCCTGGGTATGAAGCAAGACTGCTGCCACCAACGTGAAACCCAGGGACACAGATGAGCTAAGATTTGCTGTGCCCTGGGGCTTGTGGCGTCTCCAGGGACTCCCTCACTAGGTCATGATGACAAAAGCCATGGCTGGCATAAGTGTAACCCTACACTCCCTCCATGCTCCTCACTTCAAGCTGCTGACTGGCCATCACCCAGCTGCTCACCTCTGGATTGGCTTCAGGTAGAGGTCCTCCTTCTTCCCGGGGGTGTAGTTCGGCCCCATGATCCTGACCTTCAGGCCGGTGGAGACTAGGCCCGAGAAGACCCGTCCAAAGGCGTAGAACCGACCTTTGTCGGAGGTTGGCACCATTTTGGAAATATACATCATAAGGGGGCCTTTGGGGTCACAGCTTTTAATGCCTGAGGGAACAGGAAACCCACAAGGTTCATTCCAGCTCGGCTCATCCTTTCAGAACCCTGCAGCCCACAGAACTTTGGCAATGGCAAGTCTTCCGGCCATAGCCTCAAGCTGCAGCTCAGGCCCGGCACCCAGGACCACGTACCCATGGCAGCCTCATCGTCCGGGGGCCCCTCGTACAGGAGCTCACAGCGGTACTTCTGGGCTGTCACAGGGGAGGGCAGGTGTATGGTGATCATTTGCAACAAAGCGTCTCCGGCGGGCAGCCAGCGGCGCATCACAGCCTGCAGGGCAGAGGGCAGTACATGAGACACCTGGGGAGCCCAGGAAAGCTCCGTGCACGAGTCACGGAAGCCAAAGTCAGGAGTCGCCTTCTCCCACAAAGCACACCCCCTCCTGGAAGGCAGCAGAGGCCAGGCACACACCTGCCAAGACCCTCACCCACAACTTTCCCAGATGGGGCTGGCTGCTGGAATTTGACTTCAGCAGCACTCGGAGCCTAAAGGGGCAGCCGCTATCCCTGCCCAGCTGAGGACCTCAGCCCCCAGATGATGCAGTGTGCACTGCCCCCCTCCCGAGGGCCAAGGCCGGGCCGCACCTTCAGCAGGGGTTTGCCTTCCTTGTCCTTGTCCTCGCTATCCAGTTTGATATCCAACTTCTCGATCAGTTTTGCTGTCTCCTCCTTCTTGAAATTCATGATGGCATCGAACACCTAAATTCACCACCCGGAGACAAAAAAGCATATTTGGGAACAGCACGAGGATGCCTAGTGCTGCTTCCTCAAGAGACCTGGGCCAGCCAGGAGTGGGAGCAGGCATGGCCTGCCCACCAGGGGCCCAGCCAGCTCAGCAGATCAGGACCTGGAGATGATGTCACGGTAGAGCAGAGAAGAAAACCCCATTTTGACTTCTACCACTGAATGGTCACCTGCAACCAAAACCCCCGGTTATCCACCCCCGCCAAATAGGGGCAGTCCTAAGGCTCGGGCCTTGCAGTCCAGATCTCGGGAGAGGATCCCTGACTCTACCTCAGTTAGGAGCTGTGCCTCCTCCTGTCTCACACCTGCCCCACGGGGAGATGGGCCCAGCCAGCTGATGGGGAAGCTGGAGAGACCCCAGGTCCAAGTGCCAATAGTCCCACTGGCACAGAGCGCAGGGTGCTGGTGCAGCCCTCCTGCCTACCTTGAAGATGGGGTCCAAGATCAGCTGGCAGAAGGTGCGAGGCAGCTTCTTCCCATCGGGGCTGCTGGCGGACTTGCTGAACTTGCCGGTGGCGGGGTCAAAGTACCTGGCGGGCAGGCCAAAACAAGTCAGAGCTGCCTAGGGGTGACGGGGGCTGCCAAGGGGACATGCTTGGGCAGGGCTCTGCAAGGCGACTGATGCGCTTGAGCCGTGCTGTGAACACGACTCCGCACCCCTACATCTTGGGCAGGGCTCTGTAAGGTGACTGGTGGGCACCAGCCGTGCTGTGAATACCGCACCGTAACCCTGCGTCACTGCCACTCCCCTCAGATGTCAGGAACTCCCCACCATATCCCGTGGTGCTCACCTGTCACCCCACAGCTTCTTCATCATGTCCTCAACTTTCTTGGCCCGCTCGGCAGGCCCCAGCTGGCCCTCCCCCTTGGCAGCAAACTTGGCCACGTACATCTCAGCAAACTGCTTCAGGGTGAAGGCCCAACCATGGAGGCCAGACCCGAAGCCCACAGTACCAAGGACAGGATCGATCTGAAAGTGTAAGAAGCAGCAAGAAGCAATGAGCAGGGCCCCTGAGCAGAGCCTACAGCTGCAGGCCGAGCACCAGGGATCCAAGTCTCAGACACTAGATTTCTTCAGTAGACATCAGGTCAAAGTGAAGAAATAGTCAGTCATCACGAACAAGGGGCCAGCTTCAGCTGCAGTCCCTCCACCACCCAGGGGCGCCGTTCCCTGAGTCCATCTCCACTGGCTGCCCAAAGGTCAAGGGCTAGACAAGTCGGTTGAGAACATGCCAGCTGCCTACTGTCACCCCATTAATCTTGCCAATAACACACTTCTGGTGCTCTCAAGTCAACTCTGTCCCCCAACAGCTCCTGAAAACCCCGCTGTGGAAGCACACCACCCAGCCAGGGAAGGCCGTACCATGATGTTGCCCATGGGGCCGCTCTCGCCCTCGCCATAGGTGGAGATGATGACGTTCACATTCTCCACTATGCGCTGGAAGGTCTGGTAGAGCTCCTCGGGCTCCAGCTGCAACTCCAGCAGGGCGCGATCCATCTTGTTCATCATCAGCACGGGCTTGATACGCTCAGCAATGGCCTGCCGTAGCACTGTCTCGGTCTGCACGCACACGCCTGGGGACGCAGGGGACCGGGCACGCTGTCATCATCAAGCTGGGATGGCCCCGGGTTCTTCTGGGCCCTGCCTCAGGACTCGATGCTTACCTGACACGCAGTCCACTACCACCAAGGCGCCATCAGTGACTCGGAGGGCAGCAGTCACCTCCGAGGAGAAGTCCACGTGCCCAGGGGAGTCGATGAGGTTGATGAGGAAGCCAGCACCATCCTTGCTCTGCTTGATGAAGTTCAAGTCGTTCTCCGAAAGCTCGTAGAAGAGGGAGATGGCACTGAGGGAGGGAGGGACTGGTCAGGGGACAGGAGCCACACCTGGCCCAGGGAGGCTGGGATGCTGTCAGAAGCCAGGCTACTCCTCCATGACTCATCCCTGGACAGGCTCCCAGAAGAGCCAACCCACCCCTGTCCTTTGTCTCTGCAGTCCCCTCTCCCCAAAACAGAAACTCCTGGTACCAGCTCCACAGAGCCAGAGCTTTCCTGTCCAGAACCCCCTCTGAGCCTACTTGGTCCCCCCAGACTCATCACACCCAACTCAAAAGTAACAAATAAAAGACCCAGCTAGACAGCCAAAGCCTCCAGACTCCAACCCTTCCCTCCTCATTTCTCCCCCACCTCCAGCAGAAATGAAAAGCCTAAGGCAAAAACCCTCACACTGGCACCAACCCAAAACACGAAGAAGCTGAGGTCACTGAGCTCTGCTCTCACCTTTTAGACTCACGCTACTCACATCAAGGGCCAGAAACTATCATGAAATGAATGCTGTCCAGTGCAACACAGGAGTTTCCCAGCATTCCTCATGCCAGGAACTCCCTCCCCTTCCAAGAGTGACAGACAGGAGTTTCCCAGCAATCCTAGTGCCAGGAACACCCTCCCCTCCCAGGTGTGACAGCAAAACTGTCTGGATATTCCAGGAGTGGAGAAAAGTCCCCCAGGGAGGGAGACCACTGAGTTAAACCCCGACCTCAGACATCCCTCCAGCTCCCAGTACCCCCATCCCTGTGCCTCTCCAACCTATCTTGCTAGACTGAACCTCACTCATTCTTCTCAAAAATTAAAAAACCAAGGAAAACAGACATTGTCTAGTCTCCCCTCTCCCACCCTGGCTCAGTGGCCTCCAGCTGCCAGGCCAGCACCTCCCTGCCAGAGTGCAGAGGGCACGGGGAGCTCACGTTGACTTGATGGTGATGCAACGCTCCTGCTCGTCCTTCCGGGTGTCAGTGAAGCGTGTCTCCCCAGCCCGGGCAGAAGCAATGATGCCAGCCTTGCACACCAGTGAGTCTGTCAGCGTGGACTTGCCGTGGTCCACGTGGGCGATGACAGACATGTTGCGGATGTTGGCCTTCTTGTCCATGATGGCGCGGATCTGGTCTACCGTGAAGTTCACCTGGGCAAGCAGGGGAGGCTCAGTCAAGATCCCCATTTCCAGGAACACAGCTTGGCATGGAGCATTCAGTCCAAATGAAACTCCAGGCCCAAGGCCAGGAGGGGGTTGTTCCTAGGGTGCCCCACGGCCATCCAATCTCCAGCCTAACACCCCTTAAGACTCACCACGAAATCTCTAAAGAACCAGCGTTAAGAGGGGTCATTCAGGATTGACAACCCAGAAACAAAACTCCTTGGGAATAAAACCGGGTGGCAACACATTTCCTTGGTACCAAGCACGATACTAAGAAGTACTTAGGGTCAAACACACAAGGGATGCACCCGCTCCCAAAGCCCTCTCCCTCCACGTTGTCATCAGGCCACCCAGGCTTCCCCGAAGAAAAAGCTTCATTATAAAATGCCAGGTCACCACTCAGCAAGGGGGATCAGACAAGACCCCCCACCCCACAAGGAGATAACGGGGAGCCTGAACGGCCCTAAAGCACAAGCCTACACCTCGTGTCTCAAAAACAGACTGCACATTTGGTAGTCACAGGAAGGACAAGCGCCTAGGGCCGAAGGTTAACATCGGGAGAAGATATTTGGAGAGGAAAGGAGGGAGCCTTTCAGGCGTCGCTTTGCTCGTTCTGCCATTTCTCTGCCGCCCCTAGCCCTTCGGCAGAAAATCGATCTCAAACTTGCGGCCCGCGGGTTACATAAGGCGCTTCCCCGTCTCCCCGCTTCCACCGCGGTGCCCGCCATTACAACGCCTGCCACATCATCATTCCCCACCCCCATCCCCGCCACCACCCCAGCTCCAGCCGGATCCAGGCAAGGTTACAGCGTCCCCGGAAGCGGAGAAGGGGCTCGGCGAACAGCGCGGCGCACAGACATGGCGGCGGCCGCTTCCCCAACCCCTGCTCCTCCAGTCCCGCCGCCTCCCCGTCTCCTCCAGGCACGGACAGCCTCAGCGTCCCAAACTAGGCAGCGTCGGCCCCGCGGAGGCCCCGCCGCCGTTCCAGAACACCAGTGAGGTAGGGTTACTTACCATGGTGGCGGATGGTGGTGGATTCTTCCAGGTAGATCCGAATGAAGCGAGTCGCGCCGATTATGGCGGCGACGACGGCGGAAGAGAACGCTGACGTCAACACTCAGCCTTTTATAGGCGGACGCCGGTTGGGCGGGTCATGTGACTGCTCTGCGGAGGCGGGGCGAAGCGTCTCCGCGCAGGCGCACGGGGGAGGGCCGCCTGTTGACCCCTTCGGCGCCGGCGCGGCTGCTCTTAGATACAGACTGGGCGTCTCTGGGGCGGTGGTCGCCTTCGGTGTGCAGTGCTCAGGTGCACAAAGCAAAGGGCGCCGTTTTAACTGAGAATAAAACCATAGCAACGACATTAGCTTGCAAAATGTCCAGCACTTCTATTAAAACCACATTACAAGGTGAAGAGAGTCTGTGAATTATACCCAAGTCATTTTCCGGGTTTGGCCATTGTTATGTAAGATGATACCCCCGGGAGAGACCGAGGAAAAAGGACACTCGCGACCACTCTAGTTTTTGCAACTCCTTGCCTGTAATTATTTCAAAACGTAAAGTTCTATAAGAGGCCGGGCGCGGTGGCTCACGCCCGTAATCCCAGCACTTTCGGCGGCCGAGGTAGGTGGATCACCTGAGGTCAGAAGTTCGAGGCCAGCCTGGCCAACATGGAGAAAACCCCCGTCTCTACTAAAAATACAGGAAAAATAGCTGGCGTGGTGGCAGGCGCCCAGCTACTCGGGAGGCTGAGGCAGGAGAATCGCTTAGAATCCAGGAGGCGGCGGAGGTCGCGATGAGACGATATCGCGCCATTGCACTTCAGCCTGGGCAACAAGAGCGAAACTCCGTCCCCAAAAAAGGAAGAAGCAGGCATCGAAATCACTGATCCCACAAATGCATACCGAGCATCTACGCACCAGGCATTATTAGGGGTTTTGTATATACAGCAGTGAGCAAAACACCTTGCTAGCTTGACCACACTGCGTGTTTCTTCTAGGAGCTACTGGGATTTATCTGTGCCTCAATTTCCTCATCTGTAAATCGAGGGTGATCAATACCACCCTATTGTTTGGGGGAGATTAAAACAAACTAAATACATCTAAAAGAATTAGCACCGTGCCTGATATCCAACGCTCAACAAACGCTATTTTAATTAGCTAACGTTGCTATTAATAAAACAGTTACTTATTTCAGGGCTGTTTTACCACGTCCCAAGCACCCGGCTAAGCGCTTTACTGGCGCAATTTCATTTTCTATTTCTTTTCCTCTCCAGGGGGCGGCGCAGGAAGACTGTTCAGCATTTGTGTCCTAATCTGACCCTAAGAAACAGCTGAATGTGTTTCGTATCTTCGGCTCGAGGGAATTAATTGGCGTTCAATTGAGTATCTCTATTCGCTATGAAGAGTCCAGCCAACGTTCTGCACATAGTAGGCACTCAGTATTTCTTGCACGATGTTCTCACAGTGCAAATGAACCCCCTTGCTGTAAATCTTTCCCTAAACTCACTTTGGGAAACAGGAGAGCGACTGCAGTTTTCTTCCTGGGCTGGGAGAGGGGGAGGTGTGGGACCGCAAAAAGTAATGCAAATTCCAGGCTGGACTCTAAAATAAACCTGTACATGCCTCCCCCTCGCAAATGCTTCGGGCACTTTGCTTTATAAAGCGCCATCAACCTTGGCTTTCATTTAATCGATGATTGATCTTGCTATCACCATTTAACCCAGGGGAAAACTGAACGGATTGAAGCTCTGAAAGGCAGAGGGGTGGCAGGGAGCAGGTGTGAGCGCTAGGGGTTCTTAACCACCTACACCTGTGTCCGAGATGTGTCTAATGTTAAGTTACAAGTCAAGCGAATGCGCCAATTGGGGGATGAGGGGTTTTTGTTTTGTTTTGTTTTGTTTTCTTTGAGACGGAGTGTGGCTCTGTTGCTAGACTGGAGTGCAGTGGCGGGATGTCAGCTCACCACAACCTCCACCTCCCTGATTCAAGTGATTCTCCTGCCTCAGCTTCCCGAGTAGCTGGAATTACAGGTGCACACCACCACACCCGGCTAATTTTTGTGTTTTTAGTGGAGACGGCATTTCACGATGTTGGCCAGTCTGGTCTCGAACTCCTGACCTTGTGATCCAATCCCCACGGCCTCCCAAAGTGCT